GTAGGGAACTGACTGAAGTGTCATTGTATGTTGTTGTTAAAAAGGAATAGGAAGAAGGAGGAGGAAGTAGTCTGAGGATCTTATTCTGAATTTACTATTTTCTTTGTGTAGTTAATAAAGTTTTTTATACCCTTTTAAGCTTTAGGCCTGCCTTGCTCTTGCTCCTGGTTCTGTCTCACAACAGAAAATAAGTATATTTAGATTAGCAAATCAAAACCATAACATTATTGGCCAGGAAATTCAAATTAAACCAAGACAGTGACCCACACCAGGTCAGCAGCCAGGCTCTGTCCTGCTCCCCAGGACTGGGATAACCTTGGGCAGCTCCAACCACAGCAGGAACCAACACTTGATGCTGCTGAGTGCTGGTTTCTGCTTGACTCTTGCCAGCCCTCCTTGCTTAGCATTCCCCAGCACCCTGCACCCATACAGATCTTCCCAACAGCCCTGCTGTGCCACTACAGAAAGATTCATATCATGCATTAATAATTATAATGCTCCTTTGAATGGCAGGGCTGGCACTTGCTGTTCTAGCTCACATGATTGCTCTGATCTAATCCCAAGGCTGGAGTCATCTTGAGCAGATACTGAGCTATCCCTGCCTTGAATCTCGAAAAAAAAAATTTTAAAAAAAAAAGAGCTTTCCACAGTAAAAACCCCAAAGAGCATCAGGCTCACGGGGCTTTTATTTATTTTTGCAGATTGTGGAATTGAAGGGTAAATATTGCTGTTGGCAATCACTCCCCAGGCTGTGTGAGCCTCCTGTTCCTCCCCGAGGAGCCTCAGAGCTGCCCAGACCTCTCTCACACGGGCACAGCCCCCTGAGCAGCCCTGACCTATTGTCTCATCCTGTTCTCTGAATCCCAGAGCATCCAAAAGGTTCTGCAGCACAGCCCAGCACTGAATCAAAAATACAAAGATATTCCCTATCCAACAAGACCAAACAACACTTTCTTTTTTTTTTTTTTTTTTTACCCATTCTGGTCAAAAATGTCACCCCACAAGCAGGCAGGGAAATGAAGCCCAAAGTGCTGAACTGTGCTTTGAATATTTCATGTTTTACTTCCTGACCCTGCAGGCTCCTGGCAGGTGGGATTGCCCAGCTCATCCTTGGTACTCTTGGATGCTCTGAGCAAACCATGGGGAGCACAGAGCCAAACCCAGACCAAAGAGTTTGGGGAAAAATAAAACTAAAACTGGGGGGGGAAAAAAAAAACCAGTGACTTCTGTCACCTGCAGAAGGGAGGACAGCTTTGGGGCAGCTCTTCATCACCATCAAAAAATAAACTATTTTGAGAGCCTGGATGAACATCTACACAAGAAACTGATGGGAATGATGCCTGGAGCAGCTCCTGGAAGTCTCAGCTGAGCCTGGCTCCCCTCAGGAAAAGCCTAGAGCAGGGATCTGCAGGGAAAACCTGACTGAAGCCACTATTTGTTTCCATTAACACAACAATCTCCCAGACAGGATTTCTTTGAAACACAAAAGACAAGGAGGAGCAAACTGATTAAAAATAGGTCAGCAGCAGAGTCTGGAACATCTTTGGGAGGACTGAAATGGAATGTAGCCCTGGAAGCACTGCAGGAATTGGGAATGCCAGGCTCTTTGGTCTTACTTCTATTAAAAAGGAAACCCATGGAAATGAAGGTGTTGGTGCAGGGCACAGCACATCAGGTCTGAAATCACCCCGTGCTCAGCTTGTGACGAGGGAAGGGAGTGAGGGAGGAGGAGGAAGGTTTGGGGGCACAAAAAGGGGGAGGCAGGGCAAGTTTAAAAAAAAAAATAATAATAATAAAAAAAAAAAAAAATCTCTGCCTCAGCAAAAGTTTTCATTAAAATTTTAGACAAATGATCTCTGTGTCCTTCTCCCATGCTGCCTGGGGCTCCATGCTATTTCTATGCAAATAACAACCTCGTGGTTTATATCTTATTATTTCCACCGGAGCTGCAGCGACATGACCCGAGACGTGTGTGAGGTAGAGACAGCAACAGAGAGAGAGGGAGAGAAAGAGAGGGAAGGGAGGGAGGGAGATGGAGTGGCTGCTCGCTCAAGTGTGAAAAAATATTGTCAGGAGTGAGCAGCAAGAACAAAAAAAAAAAAAAAAAAAAAAAGGAGAAAAAAAAAAAAAAAAGAAGAAAAAAATTGCAGGGATAACGTGTTTATTTCAGCCCCTCTCCCCATGTGAACCAGCATCTTTTAAAATTCATTGGGCATCAGGCGATCATGCACAATCCATCTGCTTTCACTTTATCATTTGCATTTCATGCCTCCTGGCTTTTGATGTGCTGATACTTTGATGCAGTCAGGAGACGAGCATTATCATTATTTCAATTTGCAGGGGGGTCAGCGGGCTCGGCACACGCTCACCGAGAGCAAGGAAATGGCATTTCCACCTCTCCACCCCCTGCTGAAATGCACTGGGGAGACAAAAGGGGGCCAGCAGGAACACAGCCCCCTGGCCCCTGTGCTGGCACACCTTTGCCTGCCCAGGACAAACAAAGGCAGCTCCACCAGGAGCCCAGGGAAAGCCTGGCCAGCCCTCGTGGCAGTGGGGCTGGAGGATGCTGTGACCCTGCTGTGTCCCCTGGATGTGCCTCTGGGCTCACTGGTGGCCAGTGAGGAGCCAAGCCCGGAGCCCAGCAGGAGCTGCAGCTCCAGTGCCACTGACCTTGAGCTCATCATCCGAGTTAGAGGTCACCCTCTGCCTTTGGCAGCTGGACCTTGCCCTCTACACCTGAACCCTCAGGCTGCTTTTACATAATGAGACCAGCACATAATGTTTGTCACCATTCCCCTCTGCAAATTAGAAAGAATCCGGCATTTCACAGGGAAAAAAAAAAAAAAAAATCAAATTAAACAACTTCCCAGAAAGCCCTGCCTGCTCTCTGAAAACCCAATTGTCTCCATTGCTGCAGAAACAGTTTTGTGCTGCACATTCTGCTGGCAGAGAGGAGACATTTTGAAGATGTGTTTGCAGACACAAGAAGTGGCAGCTTTGTCCTGCATCCTCTAGGCATGCACATTGGTAAAAGTCAGCAGTGGAAAAATTGTCCCAGATCTCTGGCACCTAGCTGGGAAAAGCTAAAGGGGGCAGTTGCCATGATTTATCTTTGTTTCAGCCATCATCTCTCCTGAAGCCCCTGCCAGCCCTGACTCCCCAAATCCTCCAAGGGAAGGAGCAGCACCAAGACTGACACAGAACAGCTACAAAAGGTTTTCCTTTCCAGTCTCATTCCTGGAATGAGCAGGAACTCCTCATTTCCCACACCCAAACATTCTCTGCACTCCTGCCAGGGCACACTCAGCCCCCCCTGGCTGGCACTGACCTGATCTCTGGCCCCAAAAAATTCAAAGTGGCCTCTAAATGGCAGGGACAAGTGTTGAATGGGTTTCAGGGAGCACAGGGCGAGTGTGAAGTCACTCCATGGCAGGAGGATATCAATGGATCAGCATTCCCTGCTTGTTCCAGATCCTCCAGAGGATCAGCCAGGCTGAGCTTGGACATTCCCCTGCACACCAGCTCCCTGCTTCAAACACACTTCTGGGACACAATGGCAGCTGGATCCCTTCAAGAAGCCCTGAGCAGAGCTGCAGGGACTGGAAGCTGAGGGTCACTGAGCAGCAGGCACATCACACAGCCAGGAGTGAGTGGGGGCTCCCAGGCTCCCACTGCACAAGGGCAGGCAAACATTGTTGGGGTCTTGCTGGGAACGCTGGATAGGATAAAACAGGTTCTTCCCTCACCTTTAGGCAGGTGGAGATTCAGATCTGACACAAACATCCCAACAGGGCAGGGAGGAGGGAAAAGGGCACAGGGGATTATTCAGCCCACTGAAATTCTCAGGATGGGATAAATCCCCTCCAGAAAACACCTCCTTCTTCTTGTGCCTGCTGACACACGTCAGGTGCTTCACTCAGTCCATATCCTTAATTTTCAAGTGCCCAAAATTCAGTGAGATGAACCCAGTCCTGTGACAACAGCCACTGACTGCAGGGGCAGGGAGTGCAGCTGAACGTGGGCAGAGGGGGAGAATGAACAGCCTGGCCCTGCCATCTGGGGAACTCTGCAGGATCCCCAGCAAGTGACAGCTGGAACCAGGCAACTCACTGCACTCCAGCAGGCACTAAACTGACTCAATTCCTCTTTAAAGGCTGGATCTTCACATGCCTCTTTTCCTCCCATTGATGCAGGTGTGTGTGATGTGTGTAAGAGATCTAACTGAGGGTGCTGCAGCCTGGAGTTGATAGGATCAATGCTTCATTTTCTGCAGAGCCCCCTTTATTCAGGGGAATAATTCAACAAGAGCCTGTTTTCCTTTATCTCCCATTGTCAGGCAGGCACTCCTGGAAACCCAGCTTGCCATGGAGCACAGGCACCCCAGGTGCTGAGAGTGCCTGAGAACAAAGCTGCTCCTGGGGAAGGGCACTCACAGCACACAGCCCCAACTCCAGGGAAACAAAAGCCCTCGGGGACAGGGATGGCAGCAGAGTGGGCTGGGAGCTGTGTCTGCACCAGGCAGCCTGGGGGATTTAATGGGCTTGGGGCAGCAAGGGAGAAAAATCTGCCTCTGGAGTGGGGGAAAAAAAAAATTAAAAAAAAAAAAAAAAAAGAGCCACTTCACTACTTTAGTAGTGAAGCTCTAAGTTTTCTTGGTAACAGCCCCAGATATTCCTCCTGACCCCACAGCTGAGATTTGCAGCAGGAAATCTCGTTCCCAGCCTGGAAAAATCAACATCCTCCCCAGAACTAACACAGTGCTGTGGGTGACTGCAAGCTCAGCTCATTCTTCACACATATTTTGGGACAGGAACTTCCAGACACTGGGAACAGCCCTCACAGCACCCAGTGGGTGGGAGAAAACATCACCTGGGCACTCCTGGTGTTTAATCCATGCCCACAATTTCTGTTAAAAGCTGCTTCGACATCCTTCCAACCCAAAGCATTCCAGGATTCCAGGACAAAGCCCAGCTCTGAGGGCTGAAATGCAAGGAACTCACTTTGTTGAGGGCCCCACAGCCCGTGAGGATGATGTGGGAATTCTCCACCTGGATGGTTCTCTGGCCCAGCCTGACGATGTAGGCACCAATCCCAATTGCCCGACACGTAACCTGGGAAAAAAAGGAAAAAGAAAGGGATTTAAAAGGAAAAAAAAAAAAAAAAAAAAGAAGCAATGGCATTGATTTCTGTCTCTCTGCACAGCCCCAACCTATTGATTCAAACATTGAGATAAAACCAGGTGTGTTTGTAGTGCAAGGCCATAAAATCTACCCTCGCTGGAAAATTCCAGAATCCGTTACTTTGTCAAAGACAGGCCGTGACCATAAACTCATTTTATTTATAAAAATAGAAAAGCAGCAACTTTCAGATGGAGCAAATACGAGGCCAAATGGCTGAAGTGTTTTAAATTGAGTGTGGAGGGGACCCAGGCCTGCACTGGTGCCAGGAGCATTGCTCAGAGCCTACAGGAGCCAGAAGGCTGATCCCACAAGGATGTCTGGGATAACATCACAGGATTTTTAGCTGAAACAGACAATGCATTTGAAGAATAGAAAGCAGTGGGGGATTACCAAGCTGATGGTGATAACACTCTCATAGGCTAAAGATGATTCTCCAGCAATCATTCCAGATCCTCTGAGGTTCTCCACTCCAAGCCCGTCCTCCTTCCCGATTATATCTGTTATCTTGTACCTGAGGGAGACACACACAGCCTTTGAGTCACAAGGTCCAGTGATTTGCTGAATCAGTTTGCTACAAAGAAAATGAAAAGTGACTAAATAGCATTAAGGCTCCAAGGAGAAATGTGCACAAAGCCCAGGCAGGAGCTGTGCAGGGCTCATCCTGCAGCACCATGGAATGATCCCTGCAAGGGAGGGGAAGGTCTGGGAAAAGTGTCCTGTCGTTCCTAGAGGATGTGAGGAGCAGGCTGGTTATAAGAAAAAGGGCAAGAAAGGAAGGGAAAAGGGAGGAAAAAGGGAAAAGGGAAAAGAAAAAAGGGAAAAGGGGGGAAAAAAAGGGAAAAGGGAAAAAAAAAAAGGGAAAAGGGGGGAAAAAAAAGGGAAAAGGGAAAAAAAAAAGGGAAAAGGAAAAAAAAAGGGAAAAGGGAAAAAAAAAAAAGGGAAAAGGAAAAAAAAAAGGGAAAAGGGAAAAAAAAAAAAGGGAAAAGGATTACAACGAGGCTCTCATCTTTTCTTCACTTCCTTCTTCCAAGCCTCCATGCCCTGACCCTAAGGAATGGCCCAGCTGAGGACAAGGACATGCCATGCATCACCCAAGGATGAACAGAAAGCTTTTCATTCCTACCTGGACTCTCCATTTTCCTCCACATGCTCACAGTGAACAGAGTTCAGGGCACTGACTTTCTTATAGTCTTGAGGAGTCAGGTACAAGTATTTGTATCCCTGCAGGGAAAAACAGTTCATTCATCCCAATCCCACCTGTAGTCCCTTCCTGTTCCCCTGTAACCTCTTCCAAAAACAAATTTTCACATTAAATTAGTTAGAATTAAACTCCTCAGAGTGATATGAGCATTCTCTCAACACTGGAGATGCAGCTGAGGCCACTGAAAGCTGGGAATGGTGCAATATTTAGCACTAACTCCTTCTAGATGTCAATCTGCTGCCTGGGAGTTGCTAAAATCCTGCCATGGAATGGTTTGGGTCAGAAAGGTTGCACCCAGCCCCACCCAGCTTAGCCTTGGACAATTCCAGAGCTCCAACCCAACACCAGGGAGAATTTTGGATGTGACACTCTGAGAAATGCTCACCCTCACCTCTATTAGAAGAGGTGGTGTCTAAACAAGACTCCTGCAGAGTTTCCCCCACCCTGGCTCCTGTTCCCCCTCACCTTGTAGGGGTTGTCTGGGTCTTCCCAAGCCACGTGGAACATGTGCCTGATCTCCTCAGCCAGCCCAATCCTGGCCCCACTGTTGGCAGCCACGTAAATGCGGGGGATGCCCTGAGCCCGGGCCAGCTCAGACGCCCTGAGGAACAGCACATCCTCCTGGGGCCCAAAGGAGCCGATTTTATAGGTGATGTCATTGCCAATGACAATGATATCCCGGCCCTCTGGGTACTCTGGTGTCTTCAGGGTCATCTTCCAGGCCACCATGCCAATCTGCCAAGAGAACAGCACAAAATAAATGTTGTGTCTTCAAGGGTCAACTCACACGGGGGTGAATTCTCTTATTTGAAGAAGTGGTCTCTTGGAATTCTCTTGGAGTTGGTTTATTTTCCTGGGGAACCTGGGTAACAGCAGCTCTGATGGGCTCTGCCAGTGCACAATCCTTCCCTCATTCCTTGGGGCTCACTCTCCACTGCTCCCATCCCACCAGGACCCTCACCCTGGATTTCCCTCTCCCTGCTCAGGGGTTTATCACAGGTCCAACACGTTCTGCCCACGTCTCTCTGTGTGTTCCCTGTGCTCCCAGGGTCAGGTGGGATGTGCTGCTGCACAGGATTCCCAGCTATCACCTCACACCCTCACCCAACCCTCATTTCAAACACCTTTTTATTTCATTGTTATCTCAAATAGCAATTTGAGATCCCATCCTTCCATTCATTTCTTCCTTTCTCCCTTCCCCAATTTTACAGCAGCTCCATCCCAAACCCGCCTGGGTAAGCAACGCTTTTTGCTTTTTTCTTTTTGTATTTTTCTTTTCCAAAAAAAATCACGGGATGATCTCTCCTGGCCCATCCCTTCCCCTGCGTGCCCCCATCCCTCAGGCACTGCTCCTGGAGCCAGCCAGCTCAGAATGCCATTAACAGATGGGAACAGCAGTGTCCCTTGAAAGCCACATGCATCACCCAGTCCCCGCTTGCCCAAGGATCATAAGCTCTGAGTACACATTCCTCAAGCCGATTGCACATCCTCTGCAATCAGCAGGGCTGAGACTCTCATTGTGGAGCCTCGGAATTCTGAGCATGATGAACTAAAGCAGGAGGGGGAGAGGCAGCAGATAGATCTGTGCCATTTAATCCACATCCAAATGGCACAATACACAGCCCAGATCCAATCAGCATCTGCAATAAGATATGCCATAATAGGCTCATTAAAAAAAATAAAGAGGCAGAGGAATTAATCAAAGGGTCATTGGAAGTAAAGCAGGCAGCAATCCAAAAATATTACAGCCAGCTACTGGCAGATCCTTCCTTATACCTCCCCTTCCAAGAGCTGAGATTGCAAGTTAACAGAGTGTTTCAGTTCACCTTCTCCTTGGATTCCTCCACTCCTACATTGACAAGTCAAAAGGGAATAATCTGTTTGCCTCTGAATATTTGCAGACTTACAGTTCCACCTCAGCATCCACCTGCAGGGTTTGGAACAGAGAGATGCTGCAGCAGCTTCCAAGAAGGGAGCAAAAAAAAATCCCTAAAAGTTGTTTCCTGACAGCCACACTGATCCCATCATCCAGGGCTGAGGGACCAGTGAGGGACCAGGGAGTCCCCAGGGCTGCTCCCACAGTCCATGCCCCTCACCAGGATGTTAAGAGATTTTCCTCACTTTCAGCAGCTTGATGATATTTGACAGCACAGGAAACAGGCCAATTTAAGGCATTGCTTATTTAGAAAATTCAGATTGCAGCAGAAGTGTTGGAATAGTTTCCTAACTCAAGATCCTGTGTCCTCTACACCAGTATAGTCCCTTTTGCCAGAACAGAAAACAACCAAACCAGGGCACAAACTCCTGAGAACAGTTTACAGCTGAGAAATATGGAGCTTAGGAAAAGCAAAATTAAAAGTGCACCACTATTAACTCGGGTGTCCTTTGCCTCTCCAATTCAAACCACGTTTCGTGCCTTTTATCCAGTAATAAAAAGCCACGGGGATCTGCACAACTAAGGATTTTTTTTTTTGCTATGAATTTGCTAGATTCGGTTGAGATTTATGGGTAGTGGAGAACGGCTTTCTATTCCAGAAAAAAAAAAAAAAAAAAAGAATAATGAGATTTTTAAGTTAACGGCAGCACTCCAAAAACTGGAGAGTTCCCAGGTTAATTAGCCAGGCTGAGCTAATCATCTAAGAGCACTGGCAGGTGATGGTGAGCAGCCCTGGCTTTGGAGCAGGCTCTTTTGAAGGGGCAGCACAGTTTGGAAGTGCTGCTCCTGCCACTGCTCCATTCCCAGCACACCCAGGAGTGAAGAAGAGGCGAAGGAAAAAAAATAAAAGCAGGAACCGTCTTATTTAACTGTTTTTATGTTGGCAAAATGATTTGTGCCACGGTATTTCCATAAGAAGTGGGACCATTATTCTCCTGTAGGAACACATTTGGTTTGAAAAGTATCAGTGGGCAGCACGTGAAAATCAAAGGGGATGAATTATTCACAAGCCCCGATCAGAAGTGATCATTATTTCTGATGCTCCAAACTGTGATTAGGATTCAGTGCTCAGCTGTCATTTGCTCCCTGAACGGCCCCAGCCCTGCAGAATTGCACGACACACGGGGATGACACCCAAGTTTCAGATGTGTAATTTTACACACACACCTTCTCCCTCTCCATCCTGGCCCTAATGGAAGCGTTGAGAGCCGGCGGAACGGGCACGGCGCTCGTAAACGCCGCGCGTTTGACACCCAGTGTCAACACTAATCATGGCCTAAAATTAACACCAAAATTGACTTCAACATTAATTGCACTATCGATGGGAACAGTAATACACACACTGATGCAGTTCCAAATTGACTGCCAGTGGCAGCCAGAGCTGTTGACAAGAGGCACCGAGGGGAGCGGGGAAGGAGCCGATCCCAGCTCCCTCCGGGAAGCAGGGCAGGCTCCAGGCACGGGGCAGCCAGGGGCAGCAGCAGCTGCTGCAGGGGAGAGGGAGCTTTTCAAGCTCTTTCTGGCAGGTTCTGTAATTCCTGGAGAAGCACAGCCAACAGGATCATAGAATATCCTGAGCTGGAAGGGATCACCCAGTTCAATGCTCAGCCCTGCACAGACACCCCGACAATCCCACCCTGTGCATCCCTGGCACTGCTGTCCAAACACTCCTGGAGCTCTGGCAGCTGTGCCCATTCCTCTGGGGGAAGAATCTTTTGCTGATATCCAACCTAAACCTTCCCCAGCTGTTCCCTCAGGTCCTGTCACTGGGCAGCAGAGAGATCAGTGTTGGTTTATTCCACTTCCCTCACTACAGGATGGTGCTGAGCCTGGGCACTGGAGGCCAGGCTTCATTTCATCCATTTACATCCAGATTTGGAAAGCTGAATGTGGGTGTTTATTTGGTGCAGATGCAGCAATTTTGCCATTTCACCATTTGAACCTGGAACTTCAGACCTAAAAGAGTGACTCTCTGCACTTACACTGTGCAGAGCTTCCCAGTTTTTATCTGGAGCACGAACCAGCTCCCAGGAAAAGGGGCAGAGTGCACGTGGCTTGCCAGAGGCATTCCAGCTCTGAGCCTCGACAAGGGTGGAGTGCCAAAACCCAGGATTCCTTCTTGGCTCTGGGAAAGGTGTCCCTCAGCAATCCAAGCGTGGTGGTGGCAGCCCAGCCAAGCACGCTGGCACAGGCTGAGGGATGGGAGGGAACAGCTCCAGGATGAGACGTGACCAAGTGCTCAGGGAAAGGTGTCACAGAATCCCACAACCATCCAAGGTTGGAAATGACCTCCAAGATTGAGTCCAACCTGTGACCCATCCCCACCTTGTCACCCAGAGCAGAGTGTCACATCCAGTCATTCCTTGGACATCTCCAGGGTGGGAACTCCAGACCCTTCCAGTCCCTGACCACCCTTTCCATGGAGAAATTCCTCCTGAAGCTACAGATGGATACAGACACATCACAGAGAGCAACAGACAACCTTCATCAGGAGCTTTCCTGTGGGCAAGAACATTCCTGTCCACAGCATCCAGGTGTTACAAACATCTGTACAAGAATAGAGAACAAAACTGTGCCACCTCTTCCATCTCTGTTCCTGGAAGGTTTGGATTTGGGGATTTTAAAACCCTCCAAGCAGCCTGCAGCTCTCGCTGCTGTTTTAATTCCCTGTGCCTGCCATAAAATGCAGGAACAGGGGGTGACAAAGCAGAACATGCAGCTCGACGATTAAGCTGTGCTTGTATAAAATGCATTAGCTACACCTTTCTGCCTCTGGCAACGCAGAAAGCCACCAGAGCAGCGTTCCAGGAGCCCTCTGCCATCCTGAATTTCCCCCTGGCCAAACCTTCCCAGCTACCCAGGAAAGGTGCTGCAGCCAAAGCTCCAGCAGACAGCGGTGATTGTGGATTATTTCTGATCCTCGTGCTACTGAGGAGGAAAAACTGTGACATCTAGTGCCAGTGGGGAAAATGACACATTTTCCACGGGCACCAGCAGAGGGATGAAGGGAGATGTGGGGTGTTGCTGCAGGCCCTCCTTACATCACTTTCTCCTTGTCCTCGAAGATTAGTTGGGTCTTATCAGCAGCTGGTGCTTTCCTGGTGCCAGAGGATCAGGGGAAATTGGAGTCAAAATACATGAAGTGCTATAGAAAAGCATCCAAATGCCTGGCTCAGGACTGACAAGGAATATATTGAGTTCTGCAAGGGGCTGAGGGAATTACCTTTTCACACTGAGATTTCTGCTAATATGCTAATCTTGGGAACAAAGCCCTGGGCTTTGAAGGGGGTGTCACGGTGCTCCAGGTCTTGTCTCCAGCACGGTGATTTAAACAGTGGTGGATACACTCCTGAACTGCTCTGTGCTCACCCAGTTCCTGACTCTGAAAGAGATTTCCTCATTTTAGCACGGCCCACAGCAAGGGTGGAGCAGGACGAGGTTTAAGGTCCTTCCAACCCAAACCAGTCTGGGATTCTGTGACAAAGTGGGAGAAGAGGTGGATGCTCAGAGGCTGGGAAGAGGAAATCAGAGTTAGGATGGTGCTGTGCCCCAAGGGCAGGGCAGGGCCAGCAGCACAAGGACTGGGACCCTCAGCTCTGGAGCAGCCAGAGCACTCCAGGAATAAAGAGCAACTTGTATTTTCACAGTCCATTAATTCCTAGGCTTCTTTGTTGAGACCACAGCAAAGAGCTAATTACTGTGGTGGGTGAGGGGAGTGGTCGTGAGCCACGAACAGAAAAACCTCTCCAGTTGTGAAGAGTCTCAACTCAAGATTTTCCTGAAAACACACAAATTTTAGCCCAAAACGCTGGGAGAAGCCCAGCCTGGAGCTCCTGCCCTGAGCAGAGCAGGGATTGCAGCCCTGCCTGAACACCCTGCTCACAAATCTCCTGATTTGAGGCTGGGTTCTCAATTCCTCCCATCAGCTCAGACACTCAGGGCACTCAGCTCAGCTGAATGCTGTCAGAGCAAGAGTGTCTTGACCCTTTTCCACAGGAGGAAATGGAACTGGCAGGAAGGCCAAGCCCTGGCTCCCACTGGAAGGGTGGGAATGGCTCTGAGCCTCTGGTCCAAAACAAGGAGAACAGGAACCTAAATGTGCCCAAACAAAAACAACATTCACCACAGACAGCAGCTCCCAACAGATTTTACTCTTTACAAAAAAATGGGCAACCTCTCCAATGACTTTGGAGAGAATTCTGAGAATTCTCTGCATTTGAATTCAGAGAATTCTCTGAATTTGAATTCCGAGAATCAGCACCTTTTGCCACCCCTGGCATGGCAGGGACACCTCCCACTGTCCCAGGCTGCTCCAAATCCATCCAGCCTGGCCTTGGACACTTCCAGGGGAGCCCACAACCTCTGCAGCCCCTCTGGGCAAGAAGACATTTGATAGATCACATCAGACCAGATTAATTTTAAATACCAACACTGCACACACCACAACAGCCGTGCAATTCCTTTACAAACTGAGCACATCGAAGTCTACCAAGGGTTAAAAAAAAAAATCTCCTAATTTTTTTTTTATTTTTTTTTTTTTGGTGGTCTTTGGGTACAGAATCTCTTATAATAAGACTATTTGTATTCATACTGGCAGAGTAAACACTACATGTTCATGCCCAGGCAGCTCTGTGCTTGTAATTTCAGCAAGAACAGAGCGACGTCCCTGAGGGACTTTGCTGTTTCCCCAGCCACCATCCACTCAAAGGCTGAATGAGAGCAGGGAAAAGAGAGAAAGATGATGGCACAAGGCTCCCCAGCAGCTCAGCCTGCACTGCCAGGGAATAGCTCATTCCAGCTTTAATTAGACCAGTTCAAACATTTCTCCACGAGTCCAGCAGAAGACAAGGCAGCAGCAAACCCACAGTCACCGTCAGGGGGAATTTGTAAAAATCCTGTTCCAAATCTTCCCCTGACAAGAACCGTGCAGGAAATGGTGAGGAAAAGCCTCGTTTCCTTCATCACTACCCTGATGGTTTGGAACAGAACCTCTGCAAACCTGAAGTTGTGTACTTAGGAAAACATGGTTCAACAACATCAAGAAAAAATAAATTATACCATCAGCTAGAACTGTTCAAATTCAAATTACTTGAGAACTTTCACTTACTGATTCCCATAAAAATAATCACCACATCTTCTAGTGGTTCTCTTTACTCTGCAGTCATTCCAAAGCTGCAGTTTTTGCCTTCCTAATGGGAAGACAGCCCAGCAAAACCCCACCATGACAGCAAAGGCTCCTCCTGCTCGAGCTCCAGGAGTGACTCTGCCCATCCCCAGCATCAGCTCTTGTAACTCTGGAGTAAATCCTGTTCCAGAGGGGGAGGTTCCACACACCCTGATACAAACTATGTAGGGAGGATGGAAATGGAAGCATAAAATAAATTTTTCTGTGGTCTGGATTGTTTGGGTTTTTTTTAGCAAATGAAAATATTTCTGTTTAGTCTTGTAAAACACATTTTGCTCAAATACAAACCCCAGTTACCTGGAACAGCTGAATGAGCATTTTTTAATTATGAAGCAAGCCCAGCATAGGCACAGGTTTGAAATGGAATCATCATTTACTATGGAAGTTAAAATACCCATTGTAGGGAAAGTATCAATTTTTAATGAAACGAAAAAAACCTCATTTCCAAGAGTGAGATTTCATCTGTGAGAGGTTGTGAGAACAGATTTTGGTGCCTGGCTGGAAAATTCTCATTCCCACTGTCCAAAGCACAACACCAGGTGGGACAAGGAAGGAGAAGAGCATGGAAAGAAGTGGCACTTGCCTCATTTCCCCCTGGCAGCCTGTTCATGTGCACCAGCTGGCCCTGGTCATCCAGCACCAGCTCCGTGTAGGTCAGGATGTCCGAGGGCAGCGGCGCCGGCGGCAGGAACGCGTGGTCGTTCATGGAATTCCAGAGCTTGATCAAGGACTGCAAGAGAAATTCTCCTTAGGAATGTCACCTGCAAGTGTTTCTATTCAATTCACCCCAGTGTGGTGTTCCCAACAGGATCTGGAATTATTCACAATAGGATTTGGGATTATTCCCAAAGGATTCGGGATTATTCCCAACAGAATTTGGGACTATTCCCAGTTCGTTAATGAAATTCCAGAGCTTGATCAAGGACTGCAAGAGAAATTCTCCTTAGGAATGTCACCTGCAAGTGTTTGTATTCAATTCATCCCAGTGTGGTATTCACAACAGGATCTGGGATTATTCCCAACAGGATCTGGGACTATTCCCAGCTCGTTCATGGAATTCCAGAGCTTGATCAAAGACTGCAAGAGAAATTCTCCTTAGGAATGTCACCTGCAAGTGTTTGTATTCAATTCATCCCAGTGTGGTGTTCCCAACAGAGTCTGGAATTATTCCCAACAGAATTTGGGATTACTCTCAGCTCATTCATGGAATTCCACAGCTTGATCAAATACTGGAGGTGGGAAGAGAAATTCTCCTTAGGAATGTCA